ATTATTTTTATAATTCATGCCTTTCTCTTACTTTGTTGATGGCTAAGGATTGGGGCCTCGGCGGTTGGCACTGTGGATTTGCATTCGGGTCATTTCCTTCAGAAGTGTCTGTCTTGGGTGCAAAATGTCGGCCCAGTAAAAGCAGGAGGAAACCGGTAACTCTGGCGGGATTCAGCGATGGAAACGGTGGAGTCTGCCTCCACAGAACGACAGTCTTAGATCTGAGTTCAGTTCTCAGCATCAAAGTCATGGTTTGCCACTGGTCATCCAGTTTCACAGTCCCCCACCCCACCCTACCCTGAGTTTTCCTGTCCACAGTTCCCCCTGGACAAAGGCCCACGAAGGGCTTTGCGCTCACACCATCCTGCAGTGGATGGGTGTGTATTTTGGAGAAACCAAAAAGGAGGTTTCTGATGTATGAACCTTCCTGCTTGGTGGAAGTCATGTTCCCCTGTACATAGTATTTATATGAACTTTTGGCAGTGTAATATATTGGGGGGGAGGGGGGAAACACGAGTCTGTACATTATAAATATGTAAAAGTGTTTTTTAAAAGGCTGTACGAAATGTGTCATCACTGGTGCGTGGCTGTCGCGTGTTCTTCTCGGCTTCTATTTCGGTTGAAGTACCTTAAGACCAAGCTCTTCGCACATTTCGATTTTTTCCCCTTGAACCATGAATCTTACTACTATTCGGACGCGGGTCTTCGGTAGGACTGTTGACACTTCCCATGCTGGATTAAATTGCCTTGGAAGAGGTATGTACATTTCCCTGTAAATAGCCCCAGTCTTTGTACCATCTGCGGTGGGGTGGGGTGGGGAGAAAGACTGCCAGATCTTCAGAAAAATGTCCACTTTTGTTAATATTTGGGCAAATCCTGATTTCCCACACCCTCACTGTTCAATAAAGCATCCCCAAGTTTGCTGAGTGCTTTGTTTTTGTCTGAAGCTTATCCACCTGCAGGATTTCTGCAAGCCTATTTTCTTGGAAACTGAAAAATATCAGCCAGGAGTGAGTTTGTAAGCGTGAGCGAACTCTTTAACCTTCTCAAATCTCTGGGGTGGAAGGGTCAGGTAAGAGCTATTGAAGGAGGACTTTGCTGGTGTGAGAGTTTGGTAGAATTTTTATCAGGATCAGAGACACAAATGTAATGTGAGAATCAGAAAGGACGTTGTGCAGCTGCTAGGAAAATGTCCCATCACACCGCAGGAGAATATACAAGAGAGGACAGAAAGAGAAGTAATGATGAGGATTGGGGAACACTGCATGACTCACTGCAGAAGACTACAATACCCTTAATGGAGAAAGACACTTGTTTCGATGCAGCATCCATCAAGGAACCTGCAGCTTCTAGGTCAGGGGTGTCCAACCTTGGCAATTTAAGACTTGTGGACTTCAACTCCCAGAGTTCCCCAGCCAGCTGTGCTTAAAGTTGCATTCTGGGAGCTAAAGTCCACAAGTCTTAAAAGTTGCCAAGGTTGGACACCCCTGTTCTAGGTGGAAAATTGTCCTTTAGCATTGAAAGGTATGTTTTGGATCCCCCCCCCCAAATCTTATTTGTGTATAAACTTGCACCTTCTGAGCAAATGCTAAGTAAAGTTGGCTTGGAGATGAGATGCAGAATTCTTTCTGGATTTCCTTTTCAGGATCCATAGCTGCTCAGGAGAATCTCTTTTAACAATGTGGGATCTTTTGCCGTGTCCCGTCTATCCATTCTTGGCCTCGAAGTGCAATTTAGATATATATATATGGCTACTTTGAGGCGAGCTCTGTAACCCACCTCCCCCCTCTTCCCCTCGACCCCAAATCCTCTCTTCTCCTTCAGTGCAGCTGCAGGCGAGCCTGTCTGAGAGAAAAGGACGGTAATACTAGAGCGGACGATCCTTTGGTCGGAGGTAACACACTCCAGTGTGGGCAGGGTCTATTTTCGTAACACTACAAGGTCTTGAGAAAGGACTTCGAGGACGACCGATCGGAGAACGAAAGGGGGAAAAAAATTATCTGGACGGCCGTGAAAATAGCCGTACCAAACTGTTCGCCGGACTGTAGGCAACCGCTGAAAGTTACCTGGGCGATCCCAGGGAACGGGACGCCGCTCTTCCCCCTCTGCAAGCCCAGCCCGTCTCCGACGAAGAGGAGGCGGGCCCTCCTGCCGTTGCCCTCTCCTCCGCGCCCTTGCACGACAAAACGGCCGCCGGTGACTTCGCCCTGAGGTCCGTGATCGAAGAGGACGCCTTCCAAGCTCTGAGCGACGGTCCCTGGGCGAAGCGGCCCCGCCTGGCCCTCTGCGAGGACGCCGCCGCTCTTGAGGACAACGATTTCCTCTCCCTCACTTTCCCGAAGAAGCTCTGGAAGATCGTGGAGAGCGAGCAGTTCAAGTCCCTCTGGTGGGACGACGAGGGCCACTGCGTGGTGATCGACGAGGAGCTGTTCAAGAAGGAGGTGCTGGAGCGCAAAGGGCCCCTGCGCATCTTCGAGACGGACTGCATGAAGAGCTTCATCCGCCAGCTGAACCTCTACGGCTTCAGCAAGATGAGGCAGAACTTCCAACGGTCGGCCTCCCTCGTCGAGTTTTTAGCGGAGGAAAAGGCCGCCTACGCCTTTAGCAAGGTAAGGCCCGGCTTTTGCAAAACCCACTTAACCGCGGGTTCGACCTTGCTGTAGATCCACCACGGCGTGGGCTCAGGCCGTCCTTTTGCGAAGCCGGCAATGGTGGTTCCACCCTCTTGCATCCACCCCGCTGGGCCCACCACCGTCGCCTTCCTTCCCCCACGGGTACAGCGTGCCGGTGGCTCCTGGCAAAAAGGGTTGTCGTAATTGGGAGTGGACGTGACTCCAAAAAAAATAAATAAAATCCTGCACATGGCATGAAATCAATTGACAAAGGAATGGGATGTTTCCTAGTCCTTCTGCCAGTAAACAAAATATGTTTCACTGAAGGTGAGGAAGGTGCTAACTGAATACAGGCAGTCCTCCATTTACAACAGTCCATTTAGTGACCAAATTACATCACTGAAAAAAGTGACTTATGACTGTTTTTCACACGTACGACCATTGCAGCATCTCCCCTCCCCTCATGGTCACGTGATCAAAATTCAGATGCTTGGCAACTGACTTGTATTGATGACGGTTGCAGTGTCCCCTTGTGCCAATCTTCTGACAAGCCACGACAATGGGGAAGCTAGTTTCACTTAACAACCATGTTACTGATTTACCAAGTGCAGCGATTCACTTAGCAACAGAAATTTGGGGCTCAATTGAACTCATAAGCTGAGGACTCCCTGTACAGGGTAGGTTTGTTACAGCCTACTAGACGTCTTTGTTGTGGCTAAATTCACACAAGATAGCTCAGTAGATTGTGTGAACCCAGACGTTTACAGCTTTTTCAAAGGCTAAGCATCCTACGGCTTCATGTGCTGGATTATTGCAGCCTGTGAATCATTACCGTTAAGCCACTAAGTTATTTCAGTAAAGCAAGAGCAGATACTTGAATGAGCCAATTCTGCTAAGCCATTCAGACAACTGTTTGGTGCTAGTTTTGCTCTGTAGAAAAGCAGTAAGTTGGACAAGTGTATTTCAAGCAGTCTCTTGTTGCAATTAGAGCTTGTAAAGCAAACATAAAAAAAATGTTGTTTTATATTGCACCGCAATGGTAGCGGTATAATCCATCTTCAGTATTCAATGTCCCGGTGCACAATTATTATTTTTGATACAAGACACTGGATGGGGGCAACATCGGGACATGTGCCTCCTGTCTTGTTTTGACTATTTCATTTCTGAAGTGGCTCATGTAGGCGAAATGCATAATTTTCCATCTAGCAGACATTCAGTGGCTTTTAGCTGGTCCCCCTTCATTCTGCAGGCAGCACTTGCCCTGTCTTTTAATATTATGAGCTGCTCTCCAAACATTTGGGCAACACCACTAACTTTAGGCCCATGATATTCTCTGGGCTACAATATCCCCCCGTATTCATGAAAAGGACTGTAAATGGACCATTATAAATCACGAAAAAAATACACGCAAACCACTTTGCTCCATCTAGACCATTGATGACAAGACTTTGTCGTTCGCTGTCCAAAATTTGGAAAATGCCTGACGTGACTCTGCTGGCATGTCACTGCCCACCCTGCCCAGTGAACAAAAGAGAAACAATTCTTTCTGTATTCATTTTTTTTTTTAAAAAAAAAATGCAGTCTACTCCTGTGGTGCTATGTAGTATATAAAGAAACGTCGAATAATTACAAAAATGAAATACGAGTAAAACTCATTTATGGAGGGTCCAGAGGTTGCGCAAGAACCCGGCCTTCTCATGGACTTCCAGAGAGCCTGGAGTGAGAACACAACCCATTCTCGTGTGGCCCCTACAGCCTCCGAAAAACATACAAGAACGGTGTGCCTTGGTGAATAGTTGTTGCACACTAGCATGCCCTCCAGAACTTTGCCGTGCGTGTCACCTTGGGCACGCATGTCATCGGTTGGCCAGAGGAACTGAATATGAATTATATCTTCCAAAAATATGTCCCTCTGAGCCGATGGTTACCATTTGTTTTTCACGAAACCTTAGACACCTCAGTGTTGACGTGGATACTTACTTGTCTTTAACTTCAGTGGCCAGTGGCCACGAATTCTGAATTTACATACTCCTCTGAGTGCAGGACCAAAGCGATTACATTGGGGATTGAAAAAAAATGTCCTATATTCAGGGTCAGAGGTAAACATCGAGAAATGAGAAATGTCTCAGCTTTTGACTCCTCCTCAGAAGATTAACCACTTCCCACTTTTTCCCCCCATTCTAGCTCCAGTTCTACCATAACCCCAATTTCAAGAGAGGGTGCCCTCACCTACTCGCGAGGTGCAAGCGAAGAGTTGGAATCAAAAACATGCCACCCGTGGCTTTCTCCCTAGAGGAAGACTTCGGCGAAATCTGCTTGAAGAGCAGATCCAGAAGCCCAGAAGGTCCACCTTCTCTGGGATCTTCTTCCAGAGAAAATAGTTTCCTGACAACTTCTCCCAAGGACAAGATGCACAAATCTGCTCTCCGGAAGCCACCCGTGACCAAAGGCCTGGCCGGAACGGTAGGTCGTCTGAGAAGTGGTTTCGCTGCTTCTCCAAGTCCTTTGAGGTCTTCAGATCAGGGGTCACCTGAGGACACTGAGAACAAGATCAACCAGCTGGCTCCTTTCCACTTGCCCCAGCACCCCAGCCATGCTCGAGTCAACACCCACGAGATCGATTCCACCACCACCACCTCGGCTACCTCTTTGTATCACGTCATCCCGCCCGTCCCCAACAGTCCCTTTGCGCCAATGATGGGGCTGCCCACCTTCCCCACCATGTATCCAGACTTATCAGCCATGCAAGCTCACTGGGCCAGCATCCTCCCTTTTTGCAATCCGTGGTTCTCCATGCCGATGATAGCGGCCGCTTCGGCCATTTCCATGTCCAGGTCTTCCCATCATCTCCGAACTCCTTCGTACCACCACTGTCCCAACTGCAACTGTACGTCCAATCCCCCGTCCGCTTCCAAAGGGGCTGGACCCAAAACGGCAGAATATGCTGGGTACCATCGGTAAAAAAAAAAAAAAAGGACAGGAGAAGGCTGGAGACGTTTCGAATCTACTTAAAAATAAGGGCATTCAACCCTGGCGTGGACTGAAGAATAAACTTTTGTTCTTCCTGTCTGGTTTACCTAGGTTAACTTCTTTGTATTTCTTTCATCATGGATAACACAGGAGGGGCATTCCCCTCAAAAGGTTTCCTTGTTAAATGTATAGATTGGGGAGAAATAACTAGGGAAGTAATTGCATTGATTTGGATTAATAGCTTCCCAATTCTGTTGCCACAGGTTGTTGTTTTTTTCCTCAACAAAATCCATTCTTGGCCTCTGCAGGCAGCATTTTGAAGTTGGCCAATTGTGGTTAGGAACAATTTGATGTCCATAGCTCACGGGACATCTAAGGGTTTTTAAAATCTGCAGAGGAGATCATTTGACCGGTTAAAAATCTAGAGAATTAGTCATGGCACCAGAACTTGGAAAGGAAAGAAGAGTGAAGGATGCTTGCAAAGGTTGATTCTGGGAACAATATGTGGCATGGTGTTATAGTGGGTGAGTCACAATGACCTGTGTGTTGTCATTGTCATTGTCTTGGGGGCGTTGCCCTCCCGATTCTCAAGGTAGGTATCCTAGAGAATAAAAGTGTGTTTCTCAGTCTTGACCCCTTGAAGATGTGGGGAATTCTGGGTGTTGAAGTCCATGCATCTTCAAGGAGGCATCGTTGAGAAACACCAAAAGTTAACCACTTCCTAAGTTGTTACTACGAATCTGTTCAGTCTACTGAGATCTCCGTAGGTTTACGCAACGAGAAAACAATTACCAGAACAGATTTTGACCTTGATGCTTAAGGGAGAGTGATTGGTTGAAGAAAACATGGGTGAATTGTGAGATTTTTTACTGTGTACCTAGATCTTGTTCGCATTTTTTAAAAGGTGGGGGGGGCAAAAGTTTATTGAATCTGGCGAAAGACAAGACAATGGGAAGATAGGTAGTCAAAGGACCAACAGTGAATTCATCAGTACATTTTAATTTGTTGCTATTGTGACCTTCCTGTACAATATTTATAAATTCCCAGCTTGGATCTGGGCTTAATCAAGTTTGAAGATCTGGTGAAATCAAGAGGACGAGTTACGTTTCGCTGAAGTATTGACTGATTTTTAATAATGCTCATCTTGTTTCTTCTGTTCAGTTTACTTGGTTTCTCTTTTTTTTTTTTTAATACAGCAAATTAATACTTTGAGTAGCCAGAAGCACACTTTACTTTAAATGTATTTAAATTGGCTAAAACATCTACATGATTCTGGGTTTGGTTTGTTTTCCCTAAAACACATTTCTTTTGATATTCATGGATATTGCAAATTTGAACTTTATTCCTTTAATAAAAATGCTAGACAAAAATTAACATCAAGAACTGCAGGATGTAAGCTAAGAAAAGCCTAGTATTGTAATCCTAGCAAATATTTAGTTTGGATGGGAAGTCATCTCTGACACATTATTTATAAACTGTGGGGCGGTTCTCATACTTTTTGATTAACATTTGTCTCCTTAAAGAGACTTCAGCTATTTTTATCATTTTCAGCTACGTATTAACCAAGCAGGAGTTCATTTTATCAACAGCCTCAGATTTGTCACCCAAAGTATTTGCTTTTAATCAACGTGGTGCCACGAAGTTCAGTAACGTTAAATTTGGGCAAAAAGAATCCTGTAGTAACATGGTACGCTGACGATTTGAGATCTAAACTGTGAATAATGAAACGCTTCAAAGCAGATCACCTCATTTATGCGACGAGAATGTAGGTTACCGGATAATGTATGCACGGAGGAAGAGAAAAAAATATGTTTTAAAATAAAAAAAATAAATCAGTGCTTTTAATTAAATGAACTTCAGCTTTATGCCATCTAAGGCTTTTTTTTTTTTTTTAGAATTCCCTGGATACTGCATTTATCCCACATCCAATGATAAGGAGTGACATGGCAGTCCTAAATGCGCCGTTAAATTTATTGTGATCTAAATTGAGAACAGTAGTTCTGTTAAATCCCTCACAAGTAGGATAGCAAGGAAAAAAGTCAAATTATCATATTTACATCTGAATTGCTTAAGTTGCTGAAACCTCCTTTCTAACTCACCGATTTGAGAGCTGCAGAGCCCTGTAATTTAAGGCACATGGGGAATATTTTAAAAGTGTAGATTCAGACTAATTTGTTCAGACTTGAAAAATTCCCTCAACGCTGCCAAATTCTCTCATTGCTTTCAAGAGTTTACATAGACACTATAGAAGCACATATTAAAAATAGGGCATGAAACCACAGAGAGAGAGAGAGAAAGGGTGGAACGCCTAGCATTTTGAGGAATGGGGTTCCATTAGAAAAATAGTACACAATCAGCATTAATGCCATAGGTTTTGGAGGCTCCATTGCTTGTCTTAAATGTATGGGGAAAAAATTACTCTTCCATCCTAAGCGTGCCCAGGACCAGAGTTGGAGAACTTGAGGTCCTACAAACGTGTCTGAAAGACTTCCCAGATGACATAGCCTGTAGGAATGCGAAGATTTGGGAGGTCAACAATTCTGGAAGGCCACAAATTTCTCCTCCTTGGGTGTGATTTGGTTTGTAGGCTTCTCTGGTAAGGGAGGCGGGAGCAGGGAGGGAGCATGAGAAATAGTCCTCAACTTACAACTGTAATTGTGGTCGTTGTGACTGCAGGACACTGCAACAATCATAAATGCAATTGTGAAGAGCCCAAAATGTGGTTATGTGACTTCAGAACTGGATCGTAAGTACCTTTTGGAGTGGATCCATCGTAACTTTCCTAAGTGATTGATCTTAAGTCAAGGACCATCAAATTTGGCCAGAATTCCTGTAGTCCTATTGCGCGCTAATGAAGTCTAAAAATATGAATAATGAAATGCTTCAAAGCAGATCACCTCATTTATGCGACGAGAATGTAGGTTACTGGATAATGTATGCACGGAAGAGAAAAACATGTTTTACAATTTTTTTTTTAAAAAGCCAGTGCTTCTAATGAAATGAACTTCAGCTTGATGGCATCCAATAATAACACCTTTGGAACAGTGCAGAATTCCCTGGAGACTGACTTTATCCCAAGTCCAACGATGAGGAATCGCACAGCAGTTCTGAGCACAAGAGTTAAAATTTGTGGAAGAACGAAGAAATACCTCCAGAAGAAGAAATAATAATAATAAAATATTAGATTGTGCAGAAATGGACAGACTTACTTTAAGGTTGAAAGAAAAAGAAGAAACAGAATATTTTCAAACTTGGGACCTATTTTATCAAAGATTTAGGGATTAGGAATTTAATTTCTATTAGTGAATAAGATACTCAGACAACACGCTTTTGTTGAATAATTATTATTGAACTGTTAAAAAAAAATAAAACTTAAAAAAAAAAAAGTTAAAATTTGCCGTGACTGAAACTGAGAACAGTTGTTCCGTTCAATCCCATCACCAGCAGAAAAGCAAGTCCTGAGAGAAAAGTTCAACGGGATTCAACAGAAGGGATCAGATCTTCTGGGATGTCCACCTCCCAGATGTCCTTGTGTCCTCGTGCAGGAATGGATCTCCGCAGCCATCTGGGGTTGGAAATCACCGTCAAATATTTTCCTTCAAGACCCCGGAGAAGGGCTTTGTTTTCCAACAGCAAAATGTCTTCGGGAGGCAAACAATCCGCGCACTTAAAAGTCTCTCCAACGTCAATAAGACCTATAGCGGAAGACCCAAATCCATAATTTAATGTTTTTCCCCCCAAAGAAAATTATTTTTTTTTCCTCTTTGACAAACATATATATACAGTATATATATTTTCTTTTAACAACCCTGCAATCCCTTGCATCGTGTGTGTCTATGTGTGTGTGTGTGTGTGGAGTCAGGGTGACTGAATGGAGCTGAGCATTTGCTGGCCGAATGCCCTTCCTGATGTCTACGGGGGGGGGGGGGGGGGTTTCACAGCAGATAATTTTCTCTTTGCGCCCTGAGAAATTTCTGCCGTGACCTAGGAGGCGACTCTTGACAAGCATAGAACGCGTAGAAAAACGTGCTTGCGACAGCCGTGGCCAGCTTTATGCGTTGTGTTCCATCGTGTTTTGCTAGTAAATTCTTAGGCTAGTCTGTGGTTCTGTGGGTGCAAGCTGTCAGGGCACAAAAAAAAAATAGCCCAAATCTTGCAAATTTATCTAGCCTTATAGGCTTTGGGGTGAACATGAGGTCTTGTGAGGTTTGGGTACTTTCCTTGACAACCCTGTCAAATTTCAGGGGTGGGGAAATACCAAAACTTGGTAAGATTTAGTGATTTTTAGGGAGATTTGGGCCAGAATTCTCCAGCCAGCCCTTTAGTGTGGGTGGACTTCAACTCCCAGAATTCCCCCAGCCAGCTGGGAGCTGATGTCCACCCATCTTAAAGGTGACAAGGCTGACAAACATTAATCTATGGTATTAAGTCAACCATACTTTTGCAAACCAGCAACAATGCTGGGTTTAGAAGTATAAAAAGTCACCAACCAGGGTTTGCAAGACCCAAGAGCTGGGCTCCTGCAAAGTCCTAGGCCAAGGACCAAACAAACCATGTTGGGCCACCCCGTAACAGCGTGAATCTGGCTGCTACCCCGGCTTGGTTGAAGAGACAGGTCATACCAGCGATAACCCCTCGACCCAACTTCTCCCCCTCCGCTAACAAATCTTCAATCTGAGCCGAAGTCCACCCGAGTCTGTTCAAGAGGAGGTCTCTCCAGCTGTCATCTTCCCAGTCTCTAAACGCGATGTGGACGGCCACCGTCCCACCCTGGTGGTTTGCCAGCACCGGGCGCCAACGGCTCTCGATAGTTTTGACGTCGTTTAAAACCAGCCCGGCGTAAGGTTGTCGGAAGGAGAGGCAGGCAAACTTCATTTTCCTGCAGGGCGATTCTCTCCTGGATCCTATCCTATCTCTGCGCCAAAAAAAGAATAAAGTCAGAATTAAGTACAGATACTCTTGAACTCGCGACGGCAATGGAGACCACAATTTCCTTTGCTAAGCATGTTGAGTCACGCCCCATTTTTATGATTTTTTTGGCTATGGCTGTTAAGCAAATCACAGCGGTTGTTAAGGGAAGCACACGGTTGTTAAGAGAGTCCAGCAATCCTCCCCTTGGCTTTATTGGAAGCCGGCTAGGAAAGTTGCCAATGACGATCACATGACCCCGGGATGCTGCAACTGTCATAAGTACATGCCAGTTGCCAAGTGCCCGGACTTTAATCATGTGAGCATTGGGAAGAAGCAACAGTCGTAAGGGTGAGGATTGGCTGTAAGTCACTTTTTTCAAAGCCGTTGTAACTTCGACCAGTCCCCAAACAAATGGTTGTAACTTGAGGACTATCTGCATAGGGTGGACTCTCTGCACTTAGAAGTCTCGTGGCACCCTTGTGGCAGGGAGGGTCAGGATACGGCCAGGCCAATGTGGTTGAACTCAGGCTTTGGCCAGCATGCCCAATGGGAAGGGTAAGGGGCAAAGTGACACCACCTAGAATCTCCTCCTCCTCTTCCTTCTCCTCCTTCTCTTCCATCTCCCCTCCTCCTCTTCCTCCTCCTCTTCCGTTTCCCCCTCCACTTCCTTCTCCTCCTCCATCTCCCCCTCCTCCTGTNTGGGGTTCCATTAGAAAAATAGTACACAATCAGCATTAATGCCATAGGTTTTGGAGGCTCCATTGCTTGTCTTAAATGTATGGGGAAAAAATTACTCTTCCATCCTAAGCGTGCCCAGGACCAGAGTTGGAGAACTTGAGGTCCTACAAACGTGTCTGAAAGACTTCCCAGATGACATAGCCTGTAGGAATGCGAAGATCTGGGAGGTCAACAATTCTGGAAGGCCACAAATTTCTCCTCCTTGGGTGTGATTTGGTTTGTAGGCTTCTCTGGTAAGGGAGGCGGGAGCAGGGAGGGAGCATGAGAAATAGTCCTCAACTTACAACTGTAATTGTGGTCGTTGTGACTGCAGGACACTGCAACAATCATAAATGCAATTGTGAAGAGCCCAAAATGTGGTTATGTGACTTCAGAACTGGATTAAGTACCTTTTGGAGCGGATCCATCATAACTTTGCTAAGTGATTGATCTTAAGTCAAGGACCATTAAATTTGGCCAGAATTCCTGTAGTCCTATTGCGTGCTAATGATTTGAAGTCTAAAAACGTGAATAATGAAATGCTTCAAAGCAGATCACCTCATTTATGCGACGAGAATGTAGGTTACTGGATAATGTATGCGCGGAGGAAGAGAAAAACATGTTTCACAATTTAAAAAAAAAGCCAGTGCTTCTAATGAAATGAACTTCAGCTTGAAGGCATCCAATAACAACACCTTTGGAACAGTGCAGAATTCCCTGGAGACTGAATTTATCCCAAGTCCAACGATGAGGAATCGCACAGCAGTTCTGAGCACAAGAGTTAAAATTTGTGGAAGAACGAAGAAATACCTCCAGAAGAAGAAATAATCAAAAAAAAAAATTAGACTGTGCGGAAATGGACAGACTTACTTTAAGGTTGAAAGAAAAAGAAAAAACAGAATATTTTCAAACTTGGGACCTATTTTATCAAAGATTTAGGGATTAGGAATTTAATTTCTATTAGTGAATAAGATACTCAGACAACATGCTTTTGTTGAATAATTATTATTGAACTGTTAAAAAAAAAAACTTTAAAAAAAAAGTTAAAATTTGCCGTGACCGAAATTGAGAACAGTTGTTCCGTTCAATCCCATCACCAGCAGAAAAGCAAGTCCTGAGAGAAAAGTTCAACGGGATTCAACAGAAGGGATCAGATCTTCTGGGATGTCCACCTCCCAGATGTCCTTGTGTCCTCGTGCAGGAATGGATCTCCGCAGCCATCTGGGGTTGGAAATCACCGTCAAATATTTTCCTTCAAGACCCCGGAGAAGGGCTTTGTTTTCCAACAGCAAAATGTCTTCGGGAGGCAAACAGTCCGCGCACTTAAAAGTCTCTCCAACGTCAATAAGACCTATAGCGGAAGACCCAAATCCATAATTTAATGTTTTTCCCCCCAAAGAAAATTATTTCTTTTTCCTCTTTGACAAACATATATATACAGTATATATATTTTCTTTTAACAACCCTGCAATCCCTTGCATCGTGTGTGTCTGTGTGTGTGTGTGTGGAGTCAGGGTGACTGAATGGAGCTGAGCATTTGCTGGCCGAATGCCCTTCCTGATGTCTACGGGGGGGGGGGGGTGTCACAGCAGATAATTTTCTCTTTGCGCCCTGAGAAATTTCTGCCGTGACCTAGGATCGCCTCTTTGTGAGGCGACTCTTGACAAGCATAGAACGCGTAGAAAAACGTGCTTGCGACAGCCGTGGCCAGCTTTATGCGTTGTGTTCCATCGTGGTTTGCTAGTAAATTCTTAGGCTAGTCTGGGTTTCCGTGGGTGCAAGCTGTCAGGGCACAAAAATAAAATAGCCCAAATCTTGCAAATTTACCCAGACTTATAGGCTTTAGGGTGAACATGAGGTCTTGTGAAGTTTGGGTACTTTCCTTGACAAGCCTGTCAAATTTCAGGGGCGGGGAAATACCCAAACTTGGTAAGATTTAGTGATTTTTAGGGAGATTTGGGCCAAAATTCTCCAGCCAGCCCTTTAGTGTGGGTGGACTTCAACTCCCAGAATTCCCCCAGCCAGCTGGGAGCTGATGTCCACCCATCTTAAAGGTGACAAGGCTGACAAACATTAATCTATGGTATTAAGTCAACCATACTTTTGCAAACCAGCAACAATGCTGGGTTTAGAAGTATAAAAAGTCGCCAACCAGGGTTTGCAAGACCCAAAAGCTGGGTTCCTGCAAAGTCCTAGGCCAAGGACCAAACAAACCATGTTGGGCCACCCTGTAACAGCGTGAATCTGGCTGCTACCCCGGCTTGGTTGAAGAGACAGGTCGTACCAGCGATAACCCCTCGGCCCAACTTCTCCCCCTCCGTTAACAAATCTTCAATCTGAGCCGAAGTCCACCCGAGTCTGTTCAAGAGGAGGTCTCTCCAGCTGTCATCTTCCCAGTCTCTAAACGCGATGTGGACGGCCACCGTCCCACCCTGGTGGTTTGCCAGCACCGGGCGCCAACGGCTCTCAATGGTTTTGACGTCGTTTAAAACCAGCCCGGCGTAAGGTTGTCGGAAGGAGAGGCAGGCAAACTTCATTTTCCTACAGGGCGATTCTCTCCTGGATCCGATCCTCTCTGCGCCAAAAAAAGAATAAAGTCAGAATTAAGTACAGATACTCTTGAACTCGCGACGGCAATGGAGACCACAATTTCCTTTGCTAAGCATGTTGAGTCACGCCCCATTTTTATGATTTTTTTGGCTACGGCTGTTAAGCAAATCACAGTGGTTGTTAAGGGAAGCACACGGTTGTTAAAGGAGTCCAGCTCTCCTCCCCTTGGCTTTACTGGAAGCCGGCTAGGAAAGTCGCCAATGACGATCACATGACCCCGGGATGCTGCAACTGTCATAAGTACATGCCAGTTGCCAAGTGCCCGGACTTTAATCATGTGAGCCTTGGGAAGACGCAACAGTCGTAAGGGTGAGGATTGGTTGTAAGTCACTTTTTTCAAAGCCGTTGTAACTTCGACCAGTCCCCAAACGAATGGTTGTAACTTGAGGACTATCTGCATAGGGTGGACTCTCTGCACTTAGAAGTCTCGTGGCATCCTTGTGGCAGGGAGGGTCAGGATACAGCCAGGCCAATGTCATTGAACTCAGGCTTTGGCCAGCATGCCCAATGGGAAGCGTAAGGGGCAAAGTGACACCATCTAGACACCTCCTCCTCCTCTTCCTTCTCCTCCTTCTCTTCCATCTCCCCTCCTCCTCTTCCTCCTCCTCTTCCGTTTCCCCCTCCACTTCCTTCTCCTCCTCCATCTCCCCCTCCTCCTGT